ACGTTCTGCTTCCTGATTATGAATGTATATTTGCAGCTGTTGCTCCTCATTTTGAGTTGTGCTCCATAAGCAAAAGAGGATCCCTAAAGCTTTGCTCCATCCACATCATTATGGTCGATTCTACTTTGAGGAAGCAGCTCTTCAAAATAAGAGAGTCGTATTTTGAGTGCTTTCCAACCTGAGAGACTCATATTCTAACACTATATCTAACAACGATTCATTGTTGTTCATAAGGTTTTCAGTGGCTAACCATTTGGAAATAGTCTGCCTCTCCTTCTTCCCAGTTTATTTTCATCTGGAAGCTCCGCTGAAACCTGTCTAACATGGGTGACTCTGCTGGCATTTAAAATACTGGTGGCATAGCTTCCAGCATCACAGGACCACACAAGCCACTACAGTAGGACAAACTTGACAGGCAAGAGGTGGAATCTTTTACAGAAGCAGATGGGATACAGGTCATTCTCCTGGGGAGCCACTTTGTTGTGGTTATGTGCCGTGGAGTCGGTTCCGACTCATAGCGGCCCTGTACAGGGTTTCCGAGGCTGTAAATCTTTATGGGAGCAGAAAGCCTCATCTTTCTCCCTCTGAACAGCTGGTAGTTTAGAACTGCTGACCTTGAGGCTCGCAGCCCGATTCATAACCACTACACTACCATAGCTAAGTAGGTTCAAATCACCAACCCTTAGGTTAGCATTTAAGGATTAACCATTGAGTTAACATTTATGCAGCAATAATGAACAAGCGTTTCTAGTCTCTCAAATTTATCACTCTGTTTCATACCTCCCATGTATTTCCACATTTTGATCTCTCTGACTCAACTGCTCATGGAAATCTATTCATACTTACAAATCCTGGGTCACATCATCACCTCCTATGGATGATGCCTCTAAACTAGTGATGGTGGTGGTTGTGTGCCATCGAGTTAGTTCCAACTTATAGCAAGCTTATCTAGGGTTTCTGAGGCTGTAAACATTTACTGGAGCAGAAAAACCTCATCTTTCTCCAGCAGATCAGCTGGTCGATTCAAACTGCTGACATTGGGGGTTAGCAACCCAACTTGTAATTCACTATGCTACCAGGGCTCTAACAATTGTTATTATTGTTAAGTGCTGTCAAGTTGGTTCCAATTCATAGTGATCCTATATAGGGGTGGCTCAGAACTTGTGGTTCAAACAGCGCCACAAGAGGACTCCGAGGCTCTAAACTAGTTCTTCACAATTCCAGGCAGCATTTTCCCACTATACTCCTGTACCCCCATAATTGCATTATGTTGTAATTTTCAGTTTATGTGTCTATTTTCTCTACTAATCTCTGAGTTCCACAAGTTAACAATTATTTGTCAGTAAGAAAAAAAGATCTCTTGTAAGATGATCAAATTGGAGGACAGCATTCCTTAGACTGTACAAAGGGGCTTCATAAAGTTCGTGGAAAAGTGGAATTAAAGAAAATAATGGAATTTTTCCACGAACTTTTTGAAGTCCCTCATATATTCATTCTATTACTGAAAGAGGTAAAAAGATTACTTGTCATATCTATTACCAGGAAGGACTTCAGTGTTCTTCCTTTAGCACCTCGATGTGATTTAATTCACCACCCTTGTAGTGGACTTTTCCAAGTGGCCAGGGACCCAAATTTGTGAGACTCCCTGGAAAACAAACTTAAAACAGTTTTGCCAAGATTCAGTCTTTTTGGAGAAAAATCCTGGGGTCAACTGCTCTTTTCAAATGCCATCTTCATTTTCATTCATTTCAGAGGACTCATCAGATACCAGGCCTGTCCCAGAAGTCCTGAGGCAGAGGATGCAACAAGCAACTGTTAAAGAAATGTACCCCAAAAGCCAGAAGGCCACTGAGGTGGGAAAATTTTTGCCAAGAGGCATGGAGAGGGTCCTCCAAGGGAAAGGTCCGCAAAGTTGATTTTAAAGCCAAGCTGGAAACCTGGAAATCGGAATTGGCCCCACGAAAACGTGAGGGAGAAGTGAGGAGCACAATCAGTTAGATAAAAATCAACTCGTGGAAAGGATAGATGGTCTTTCTGGATTTTGGTTATCTCCGTCCTCTTCCGCCCACGTTTCCCCCTTTCTTTTCAACCTTTTCTTTGAAAACTGGGACTGAAGAAACTGCTTCCCTTTGTTTTACTTGGAGAAAAGCTTCATGGAAGAGACCAGTGCAGACAACAAAGGGAATATTAATCCTTGTGTTCTACGGGCCAATGGGAACATAAGGAAAAGTTGGGGGGAGGGGACAGGTGAGTCAGGTAAAGAAGTAGTCCATAGTGAAAAAAAAAGTATGAGAAAAAAATTATAAATGGAGATATTTGTATCACACACACACCGCCTTTGGCATTGTCTCTTTCGATGGCTTTTCTTGGTTACTAGCCTCTCTTTGTCTTCCTGTCTCTCCCTTCTCTCAAGGCTGGAAATTCCTTGTTCTCCGCAAAAGTGAGTAGGAGGGGAACTGGGGTGGTAGGAGTGGGAGGGAAGAGAACAGACATCTCAGCCGCTCCCGCTGTGGGGGCGCTCTGGGCCTCCGACAAGGCCTGACAAGTCAGTGATTTTAAAAATACAAGCATTTTTAAATCCACACACAAGGGACTCTCAAACATAAACTTAGAAAAAGACATAGATAACACAAATGTTGGTTGTTGTTGTTATGTGCCATGGAGTCAAACATAATTACATAATCTGGGGCCTCAGAGTCACACCGGTAATAGCGTCTTAAATTTACTTGGCATTTTACAATCTACAAAGAGTTTTCTTCTACTGTATATTCTCATTTGAACCTCAATACAGGCTTGAGAAACAAGATGTAAACACTAAAGAGTTTCACTCTCACACGCAGCCTGCAGGCTTTTTCTCCCCTCCTTTGGCCCTGGACCCACCCCAGGACCCAGAATGGAGGGCTCAGGATCGGCTCCTCCCTCGTCCTCGTCCCAGATTGGGGACCCAGGAACCCCCCTCCAGTAGGTTCCCGCCTTCTAGTTTAACGGCCTACTCTCTGGCCCCCTCCCAGGGCCTGCGTTTTCCTCCGGATTTGGGGGCTCAGCGCCGCCTCAAGGGGGCGGGTGGGAGGGCGATGGGGGCCTGGAGCAGAGGCTGCGTGGGTGGAGGATGTGCGTCATGGGGAGCGTGGGCAGGGAGAGGGAGGGGGCACGTGGAAACCCGGGGCCAGCGGCTGGCAGCCCAGTCTCAAAAATAACCAGGGGGTGGGGGAGGGGCCACCCCTGCACAAAGCAGAAAAGGGTGTGTGGGGCGGCCACGAAGGGAACCCGTCTAGCCACTGCCGTCCAGTTGCAGGGTGGGGGATTTGGTGTGAAGTACTTTGCTCATCCCTAATCTCCAGACTGTTTTGCGCTTAATAGGCTATACAGGACATTCTTAGTGACTGAAGTCCTCCAGCATAACACATCCTTCTTCCCAGTCGCCCCGGAGACCTCCCCTGGGCGCGGAATGTAGAACCAGACCTCGCCTACACCACCCACGCTCTCCCTGGCCCTGGGCCACTAAGAAGTACGGAATGGAGAGGGCGGGGCTGAGGTTATAGTCTAAGGAAAGGGAACCACGGTTCTAGCCTGCTGGGGCCACGTCCTCTCCCCACTTTTACAGCATGTAGGACGAGGTCTTCTGAACCCCCAATGTCCGTCCCCTGCCCTCCCTGACTTAGGCAGGAGCGAAATGGGACCCAGATGGGGCTGGGAGAAACAAAGGGGGGAGAGGTGGGTTGTGGGGGGACCTAATTCCTTGAAGAGGTTCCTCCCTCTAGCGCCTTGATAGGGAGCCAAGTCTGATGGGGGCCTCCTGCAGCTCATCAACTAGATGATGAGGTCCCCTTATAGATATCCCAGAAGGAGTTTCCTGACTTCTCTATTCCAGCTTTATGCCACAGTTCTCAAGGAGCAGTTCCCCCTCCTCAGCAAATGAATGCAGACAAGTAGAGGATGGCAAGGGGCCCCTTCCGGCACAGCTACCTGTCCTAGCCCACAAACCCTGACGCGTCTAAGGAAGTAGAGCCTAAGTGGTTTCCCCAACTTCCCGTTTCCCAAACTTAAGCAATGACAGGAGGCTGAGATGGAGGCCTAAGTTCCCAAGAGTCACCTCCCCAAATTACTCCTTTGTGGACTGGAGAAGGGTCCGGAATTTCTAAGGGATTCCTGATGAGCCAGCACTGCGCTTATATTTGCTTTAAGTGTATAACCTATGGAAGACAGATGCACGCACCAGCAAAGCTGCACACCCCAAGCATCAGCCAACTTTTGCCGGCTCACTTGTCGTATTCTTCTATATTACACCTCTCTCAAGGTACACGCCCCCCCCTCCCGGGGGCCCTGGGCATTCGTGTTATTGTCTCAGCACGTTTGTAGGTCCGTGTGCTTTTGTGTTTTTATGGACCTGTTCATGGTTGTGAAACTCCGCTCTCAGCTCCGAGGGGTAAGCATGGTGGGGGTGTAAGAATGTCGCCGGCGGGGCGCTCACGTGGGCACGTGGGTGCGGAGAAGGCCGGCTGTGCATCCGGCGTGGGCGGCAGGGAGCAATCTCGCCCCTCCCTCTGGGTCTCCAAGCCCGCCCTCCACAGCCCGGCTTTGGTCACCTCGGTCCCTAACTTGGCGCCCCAGCTCGAAGTCCCCGCCCCCGCCTCCCCCTGTCTCCGCCTCTCTCCAGCACTGAGTCTCCTCGGCCAACAGGCCCCGGCTCCCGCCCCCCACCCCCGGCCTCCGCCCCCGACTCTGCCCACGCCCTCCGCCCGCCCAGCAGCCAGCACAGCGCGGGCCTCGCTCCCCTTGCGTCCTGCGGGGGCGGAGGCGCGGAGAGGCGGCGAGCGCAGCCGGGGAGGTGGGGGGGGGGGGCAGAGGCACAGACTGAGGCGCGGAGTCTGGGAGAGAGACGTGGAGGGAGGGACGGAGCCTGGACAGCAGCGGACAGGGTATTACGCGCTGGGAAGAGCTCTAGGTGCTCTTCTCTAGAAGAGCACTGAAAGGGGCACTGGGGTGGTCTCTCGCCGTCAATGCACAGAGCGTCTTCAATTATTGTCGAGCAGCCGCCAGGCGGAGGGGACAGCGCCCGCCGGACCCCGCAGTCAAGATTGAAGTTAGTGGGCAAGGGAAGCGGTGGGGAGTGGAGAATGGGTGGAGCCGGACTTGGGAATGGGGTCTGGAGGGCAGGGGTCGAGGAGAGGATGGGGGGAAGTGGGATGTGAGTGGGTAGATGAAAACTGGTGAGAAAGGGGGTGAGTTTTCGAATTAGGGGACCCTGGAGCATCAGGGATCTGATGAAGGTGGATGTGAAAGAGTAGTACTTGCCCCCCCTTCCCCCCCCCCCCCCCCCCCCCCCCCCCGTTTACTCTGTGAGCATGACCTGGAAGGGATCCGAGGCATTGTGAGCCCCCACGAAGAACGTGGGAGCCCCTAAGCACCAGGAAAGTCCTGGTGCTCCAGCTGGCAAGAGTGAGGGGAAGGGCCGCTTAGCTGGCTGTTTGGTGTTGGCACGGATGCCTTGGTCCCGGGGTCCGGTGGTCAAAGAGCACTGCGAAAGCAGATTCATTCAGTGTCCTTCCCGTTTTCAGCCCCTTTATTCACCACGTGGGGAGGGGTCGAGAGGGACTGTGTGCAGCCCCTCCCTCCTTGAGCGGTTCCCCCACTTCAGTGAAGATGTGGGTGGAAAATGAGGGAGTGGAAGGTAGGCGGGAGCCCCCAGGCTGCTTTCGCCCACTGACGCTTCTGCTGTGGGAGTGTGTGTGGGTGGAAAGGCCCCTAGCAGAACAATTGAGGTGCCCCTCCTCTTCCCAGGCCTAGACTGCTTAGGAGGAAGGTCACTTCTAGGAGAGGAGCCAACTTGAGGGGCGTTGTGCAGCCCGGGAGGGAGGGAAGCATGCGTTCAGTTCAGCCCGCCTAAGGTCTGGGAAAGGCTAAGAAGAGAGGGCCACCTATCCACTTGTCTCTCTAGTGGGAAAGGGTAGGGAAGAGGCCACACCCCTCCCTCTCAGCCACCTGGGCAGAATGTCACCAGGAAGTGGAGCTAGTCAGCAGTGTCCCTACTGTCCATTGTGGGAAGAAGATTTGGGTCTCCCCTCACCTTGTTATTAAGGGCTATCAAGTCGATTCCTACTCATAGTGACCCTGCATAGAGTTTGCCAGAAGCAGCTTGTGAGTTTGAACTGCAGTCCAGTGCTTATTCTACAATGCCTCATCTTACTGTGGGATAGTACCTTGAGTAGAATTGCGACTTCTGGTGGAAGGTGAAAACTCATCTGGGGCGAAGAGGTTTAGCCACCACAGGCTGTGCTGGCAGGCCTCAGTGTCCTCGATCCAGGCTTGAAAGATAGAAGCTGAAGATGGAAACTAAGATTTTTATTCCCTCAGATCAGTCGAGATGGCATTTGCATATCTCATAAACCTCTGAGTAGTAAGTGTCTGATTCTCATAGTCTGTGCTTAGGCCTGGGCTCTAGGCGAATCCAGCCAAGTGAGGGGAAGAGAAGCAGGCAGCCAAGAAAGGACATTTGTGGGGATGGGCTGGTACCCAACAGGGAGACTTGGATCCACTCTCTCTCCCTTGCACCTCTTTCTCAGGACCAGTGCCAGAGCCATGGCACTACCTCGGACGCTGGGGGAACTGCAGCTGTACCGGGTCCTGCAGCGTGCCAATCTCCTTTCCTACTACGAGACCTTCATCCAGCAGGGAGGGGATGATGTGCAGCAACTGTGCGAGGCTGGGGAGGAGGAGTTCCTGGAGATCATGGCACTCGTGGGCATGGCCACTAAGCCCCTCCATGTCCGGCGCCTGCAGAAGGCATTGAGAGAGTGGGCTACCAATCCAGGGCTCTTCAGCCAGCCAGTGCCTGCTGTGCCGGTCTCCAGCATCCCACTCTTCAAGATCTCTGAGACTGCGGGTACCCGGAAAGGGAGCATGAGCAATGGGCATGGCAGCCCAGGGGAAAAAGCGGGTAGCACCCGCAGTTTTAGCCCAAAAAGCCCCCTGGAACTTGGGGAGAAGCTGTCACCATTACCTGGGGGACCTGGGGTAGGAGATCCCCGTATCTGGCCAGGCCGCAGCACTCCAGAGTCAGACGTTGGGGCGGGAGGAGAAGAAGAGGCTGGCTCACCCCCTTTTTCCCCACCTGCAGGGGGTGGAGTCCCTGAGGGAACTGGGGCTGGGGTGCTAGCAGCAGCTGGGACTGGGAATGGTCCAGACCGACTGGAACCAGACATGGTGCGCATGGTGACAGAGAGTGTGGAAAGGATTTTCCGGAGCTTCCCAAGGGGGGATGCTGGGGAGGTAACTTCCCTGCTAAAGCTGAATAAGAAGCTAGCACGGAGTGTGGGGCACATCTTTGAAATGGATGATAATGACAGCCAAAAGGAAGAAGAGATTCGCAAGTACAGCATCATCTATGGCCGCTTCGACTCCAAGCGGCGGGAGGGCAAGCAGCTCAGCCTGCATGAGGTGAGGACCCTGCTGCCTAGGATTGCTTTTGACTCCTGGGGCCTCACCCTCATCTCCAAGAATTCCAGTGCTTCTGTGCCCTTTGACCTGGACCCCAGGCACTAACCCTGGCCCCAGCTGCTGCAATGCTTCCATCATGAACTAAGTGGGAAGCGGAGATAAATATTACAACGTAGTTGTCCAGCCCAGGGACAGGACATTCGGGGCCCCGTAGACAAGACGGAGGCCCTGGACTTTCCTAAGTAAGCTGTGGTTGCTGACCTTTGGCCTCTTTCCTCAGAAAGTTCCCAAGTATTTTAAAAACCAAAACAAACTTCCAATGGATGGGACTTGGATACTGAAAGGGTGTAAGAACAAGGTGTTGGAGAGTTAGGGATCTAACTGCTTTGGCTGTTTTCTCTACAGCTGACCATCAATGAGGCTGCTGCCCAGTTCTGCATGAGAGACAACACACTTTTACTTCGAAGGGTGGAACTTTTCTCCCTGTCCCGACAAGTGGCCCGTGAGAGCACCTACCTGTCTTCCTTAAAGGGTTCCAGGTGAGACCTCTTTTCCAGATCTTTCCTGGATTGAAACTTTTTTCCAAGGAGATGGATCATAACCTAATCTCCAACTCAAGAAATCTAAGCCTGCTTCCCACCCCTCTTCATATCCTGTCTCTGGCAGTGTTGGCTTGTCTGAGTTATAACCCCTTCTTTCACCCTCTTCAGGCCTCCCAGAAGGCCCCCAGAACTGGAGCTTTCTGCACAACCAGCTCCTTACAGTCTTTAAATAACGTATGCCCCTGTCCAGATTCTGCATTGTGACCATTGTGTGACCATCCTCAATGTGCACTTCATTCCTTTCCATTCTTGCAGGATTCATCCTGAGGAATTGGGAGGCCCCTCGCTGAAAAAGCTGAAGCAGGAGGTGAGTTCTGTGGGATGTATGTGAGGGACGTAGGGCAGCCTTCCCCAGTCTTTCTTGCCAGATCCTCATTTCCCTCTTTGGGGCATTCACAGGTTGGAGAGCAGAGCCACCCTGAAGTCCAGCAGCCTCCTGCAGGCCCTGATTCCTATGCACCCCCATACCGTCCCAGCTTGGAGGAAGACAGTGCCAGCCTGTCTGGAGAGAGTCTAGATGGACACTTACAGGGTGAGTGGGCATTGGACTACTATTACTTTCCTCACTACTGGGGGATGGGGTGGAGGGAGCCAGGAGGCAGCTGCTGGAACAGGAGAGTGGGAGGCCTGGCTGGACAGGGGCAGAACTACCTAAGGTCTGGCTGTATGGTTGAGGGTGGGGGTTGAGTTGGTTGCCGTCCTTTATCTGACCCGTGCCCATGCCCACAGCTGTGGGGTCGTGCCCAAGGCTGACGCCGCCCCCTGCTGACCTGCCTCTGGCATTGCCAGCCCATGGGCTGTGGAGTCGCCACATCCTGCAGCAGACACTGATGGACGAGGGGCTGCGGCTGGCCCGCCTCGTCTCCCACGACCGTGTGGGCCGCCTCAGCCCCTGTGTGCCTGCAAAGCCACCTCTCGCAGGTGAGGCAGCCATCAGTGCTGTCCCCGAGCACCCCAACCACCCTGGCCCCATACAGCTATCCTGGGTGTCCTGGGGCCAGGTGGGAGGAAGAGGAATGTAATTGCCAGAGATGGCAGAAAAAGGGGTCAGGTTCCAGGCAACAAGACCTTTGCTTGAGGAGAGGAGGACCCTGCTGTTCTCACTGGGGAGGGTCTGGCCCAAATGTTGATTGTGAAGGGGAACTGGGGGTGGGGCAGGAAGGAGGGCCACCCATAAGGGAGACTTGGATATAACTTGCACCAGTTCAGGTACAGGCTGGGAGTTATGGGGGTGGGGTTGTTTGTCCAGCTTGGATGTTGAGGAGCCCAAAGGGGGATGCATTGTATATGGATGGGGGAAGGGGAGCAGGCCGGCAGAGGGCTGGGCATCTGCTGGGCTGAGAGTGACGCAGCAGATAAAGCCACCAACCCTGGCTTGGTATTTTTAAACTGTGCGTGGGTGGGAAGTGGGGGCGGGGACTGGAGGGGGGTTCTTAGGGGAGGAGCGGAGAGTCTGGTTTCCTGTGTTCCCCCTGACTTGGCTCTCCAGAAACTTGGGGGGCCATGATAAGGTGGGTGGGTCCTGGGAGGGGGCCAGGGATGAGTGGGGGTGGCAGAACCCAGAGATGGGGGGAGGGGAGAGGTCAGAGCCAAACCGCCCCCACAGCTCCTGACAGAACGAGAAATTCCAGCTGAACGGAGGCGGAGAGACAGAGACCCATAGAGAGAGCTACACATAGCCAGAAAGGGGAGGGGGCCATGCACACTTGTGTCAAGAGCGTCCCTCCGTATACCTGCGGTAGGCAGGAGACAGGAATTTAGTAAATGGATCATATCCTTCACAGCCCTCTCTGTCCCCGCTTATGTTCCCAGCCACCCTGTCTGCAGCCTCCACCTCCAACAGCCTCCTAACATCCTCCTTCTCTCTGCAGAGTTCGAGGAAGGACTACTGGACCGATGCTCTGCCCCAGGATCCCACCCTGCGCTGGTGGAGGGACGTCGGAGCAGCGTAAAAGTGGAGGCTGAGGCTAGTCGGCAGTGAGGGGCAGACTGGTGTCCTTGGACCCAGAGCCCCTTACTCAAGAGCCCTGGAGTCTAGTCACAACCTGGGTCCTTCCGCTGCCCTTCTCCTGCCTCCTCACCTGCTCCATGGGCAAAGGACTATGGGGCTTCAAGCAATAACCAATAACGAGCAGGGCCTAGCCAGAGGACACAAGGAGGGTGCATGGTGCCCCTCACCCCTGCCCACAGCAAGGGGACGAGGACTCTGCCTCCAGGGATTCTACTCTCATCTGCACAACACACTCCCATTTTCTATGTTTGAACTGATGATGTGAGCAATTGGACTCAGTTTGGACATGGAGGAGAGAGGGGCTTCCCTGGGAAAGTCCAGCAACAAAAATGGAAACATTTACCACAGAATTGGGGGCCTGGGAACACTGGAACTGCCCTTTCTCCCTCCGCATTCCCATTTGTGTGCTTCTAGTTTGTTTCTTTAATTTAACAAGTGCTGCCACTAGCCCACCTATCCCCATCTCTCCCCCAAGCCCTCAGCACTTCTTTCCTCCTGCCCACTCTTGGAGGGGAGGGGCGGTGGAGGTGGGATCCTGAGAGGCCTGGGTTGGACTCAGGGTCTCACCCAGCTGGGGGCTGGACCGCAGCACTTATCTGAGTAGTTAGAGCATCTTTCTTTTCAGATTGTGTACAGTAGATTATTTATTTTGTTATTTTGGAATAAAATTTATTTTATGGCTTAGGATCTGTGACCCCCCACCCCCTAAAAGGGAGAAAGGGCCGCATGGGATAGGGAGTGGAGGAACACTGGCAATAGGTGGGGAAATAGAAGAGGAGCAACAAGTAGGGCCCCTCATCCCATTGAGAGTAAGCACACACCTGGGCCCCCTCCCCACACACTCATCCCCTGGCTCCTGGCAGGATCAAAGGTTGAGCAGCCAGAGCCATATACTGGTGTCGCGGTCCCATAGTCATGTTTGGAAAGACGTACATTTAGAGTAACATACAACAGGTACCAGCACACTGCTGGTGTCTTGTGTGACATCTCTGACTTCCAAATTTGTGTTGTCGCATAGACAAAATCAAATTAGGCACATGTTCTTAGGTATATATCTGCACATTAGCATGTCTTAGGTATATATTCTTTCACACAGCCCTGATAATTCTGTACAATCTCATACACATTCCAAATGCTTCCATCTGAATGGCAGGATGGTCTGGGATTTTGTTTTTGTGTTTTAATCTGAACAAAATCCACATCAGTAACCATATGTACAGACCCCTTGTAAACTGCCCAGTTCAAGGACTCCTAAATTGCCTCCCTTTTCCATGGGAATAAGCACCCCCAACTCATCCACTCCATCCTCAGCCTCTAGTGCCAATGTGTACACATACCTGCGTGTTTCTACATGTGTGTCCTGGGCCCTAGTGTGGAGTAGGCGGAGGAGCACTCCCTGCCCCAACCTGTGTCCTTACCCACTGCCCTCAGGCTCAACCCCAGCTTCTGGTCGAGAGCTGTGTGTGTGCACTGCAAGTGCAGGTATGTTGGGGCATGTCTCTGGAGCCTGAACTTCCCTTCCTGTACTAGAAGGGGGTGGGCTGGGGTGTGTGTTGGCAGGAGTGGGAGGAAAGGAGTGGATCAGTTACACCCACAGTGCATTCTTCTGGCGAAATCTTTTCCTCCTGACCAGGGACTAGGCAAGATAGGTGGCACCCTCCCCATCTGCTGCTTGGCAGGAGCATGGGCAGGTGTCCAGAGCAGGTCCATGGGTATACAAGAGCTAACTCTCTGGGTTTCTCCTCCAGCTGGGATCACCAACTGGGGTTGGCCCTTAGGTCCGGATGGGACATGGAGATCCCAGACTGCCCATAGGTGGGGGGCTGCAGGAGGGGCTGGGCTCCCAGAGGCCTGCCCCCTGGCTCCCCTTGCCCTTCCAGGAGCAACTTGTTGAGGTCCTGTTCAGTGGGAGGCAGTAGGAGAGGTAATGTGTCTTCACCAACCCTGCAAGGAAGTAGGTAGGGACATAGTGGGGTAGTCATGGTGCCCATCTAGTCCCTCCCAGCCAGCCACCACCCCAGGTTGACACTCACCAGGATCCTTGAGGGAACCCTCCCACCTGCTGGCCCAGATGGCTGTCTTCCGCCATGGCCACATCTGAGTAAAGCAGGGGCTCAGGTGTGGGCACAGCATGTTCCTGAGGCTGGCACGGCAGCAGACCCCTGCCAGGACCAGGATAGGTGAGAGGTGCGCTCAGAAAGAATAGGAAGCACAGGGTCAGGAGGGATTTGTTACTCACTGAGTGTGAGGTTGGTCGAAGGTGAGGCTCATCTGTCCCAGGCTGGGGGGCACCTGCAAGTGACGTCTAGAAGGAGGAAGGAAGACTGGGTAAGGGCAGAGTTAAGATCACTGAGGGAGGAAACAGAAGTTCTGGCTCTATATATTTATTTCACAACTCACTAACTGCATGTCCTTGAGCAAGCCAGATTTCTATAGTCTTAGTCTTTTAATCTGTAAAGTAGGAGGTGGACTAGCTGACTTGTAATGTTCTAAATCCTCCAGTCCCACTCCACTTCAACTCCTGGGAGGGGAGATGTTATGCCTTGATGAGTTATAAAGGAGCCTTGGTGGGACAGCGGTTGAATGCTCAGCTGCTAACTGTAAGATGGGCAGTTTGAACCCACCCAGTGGCTCTGCAGGGAAAAGACCAAGTGCTCTACTCTCATAAAGAATTACAAACTAGACAGCTTTATGGGGCAGTTCCACTCTGCCAGATGGGGTGGCTATGAGTCAAAATCGACCCAATGGTACCTAACAATAAGAGCTGATGAGCATCTAGATGTTATTTAGGAAACAAAAAATTGAGGCCACTTCAAAGTCAAAACATGATAAATAAAAATCAAGACAGCAGATAAATGACATTGGATTTCAACGGCAGGAAAGAAAATGCTACTATTACATAGCTCTTGCTAGGAGCCAGGTACTGTGCTCAGCTTTACACATATCAAGCATTTAACCTTCACAATAACTATGAGCCAGGCATCACCATTATTACCATTTTATAAAATTTGCCCCAAATCAAAAGAGTCGAATTGGAACCTTGGCCATCTTAACCACTACTGCCTCAATGGAGTGGGCAGAAGAGATGAAGAAAAGGTATGATATTTGGAACCCCTCTGTCACAGAAGACCCTCTCCTAACAAGTGCAAATGCCCACCCTCCTTGTAAACTCCCACCCCTGACTTACTCCTGGAAAGTTGGCAACATGGTGACTGATTCTTCCGGGGAGAGAGCTTGATATGAGGGTATCGAATGAGAGTGTGGTGGGTACACCTGGGGCCTGGGGATAGAAAGCAGACCCTCTGATGGCAGCCCTTCTTCTGGGTGCCCTACCCCATCCTATGGAAGGGGAACCCCATTCATGGAAAGGGAAACTCCCTGTTTCAGCCCCCAATGCCAGCTCTTCCAATTGGTTATACTTAAAGTCCATCTGCATAGGGCAGCCCCAGACTTGTCAAGCTCCTTACACCATATCTGAGCCAAGCTGCATGTTCATGGAGGAATCACGGCCCATTCCAACATCATAAGTGGGCACCATGGTAGGCATATGGGACTCTGGGGCAGGAAGCGGTTGGTCCCTGGAAAGTGAGAGGGAATTACATGTGTCTGACCAAGGGTGGATGGCACCATTCCTTCCTGCAGGAAAGGGCCCACCCCCAGGCCCACTCACCATCCGTACCATCATACTCACCTTTCCACAGTCATCTTGATGGTGGCTGGGACATAACCCCTGCCATCCTTGCCCATCTGTTCAGCTGTTGTGGGAAGCAAAGAAGAGCTATAGAGTGTCTGGAGTTAGGAAGATGGAGATGGTGGGCATGACAAAAGGGCAGCCAGAAGAAGTGGGACAAGAAGACAGGAGAGAAGCTGGTAATGACACTATGGGCAGAGAGGTGGGGTGCGGGGAACAGCTGGGAGCAGGAAAGAAGCAGGCAGCAGAAGAGGGGGAAATCAGCTCCAGCTCACGTTTGTAGTGGTTCCGGAAAGCCTCATCCTTGGGTTTCTTAGGATAGAGGTTTCTGAGCTGAGCAAGGTCACGGATTCGGTCCCCCAGTGAGCGGATGGACAGGTCCTTGGCTGAGAATGGCTGGATGTTCTCTATCTGTGGAGAGCCTACAACAGGAATGAAATTCTGGGTGCCTCTATTCAGATGTTCTTCCCCTCTTCCAGACCCCACCACAGGACCCATTCTCAATCTACCAAAGCAACAGAGAAAGGTCCCTGAGATAGGAGTGCTGAGGCAAGGAGACTCACTAGTCCCCATTCCCATAGAGCTCCTGTGAGAAGATGGAAGTTTAGACCACAGAAGGATGAGGAGAAGTTGGGACTAAAGGAGAATTTCCTGAAATGTTAGGGTTGGCATTAAGGAAGCCTAGGAGATGTCTCCCTATATGAAAGCCCAGAGGGCACAGTCACAGAGACAGAGGACTGGCTGCAGTGACCTTACCATCCTGGCCCCGGATGACGTGGGCAATGGTGATGCCCCCAATCTCTGAGTCACTGAAGCGTAGGAGGAAGGTCCCATCCGGCTCATTGAGAAGAAGGCTAGTAACATACTGTTTGCTGATGAAGCCGATGATCAGCCTGGCCAGGATGGAGGAGAGCATGGGGGTGGGGGCA